AGTTGGCCAAAAATTGTGCAAATACGAATATTCTTTAGCTAATCGAGTAGCTCGTTACTCGATAGCTATTTTTTGATCATCGGTCCCATTTATTATGTATAAATTTTTATTCCAAGTTTAACGAAAAAAATAAATACGAGAGAGGCAGTAATACATTTATACACGTGCATGTCACATCGTTAACTATCTCATTACGTGTTACATCAAAATTATATTATGATAAATGATATGGAAACACAAGCTTAACCATTGTCAATAAACATATGATTTTAAAAATTGTTGATGCCAATCTTGGTCCCTGGTTATCATGAACACTTATTAGCCAATTAAAAAAATAAAATAAAATACGGCCAAATAGGAATGTTTCGTTGTAACATAATTTTGTGGGGTTAGAGCAAATAATAGGGGGTACGTAGGGGACCAGAGAATTCAATATAACGAGTGGAACTTTGTCCGTCAAAATGCTTTGTTTCAAAGAATACAAAAAATTTAAGAAAAGCTCAGTCAGTCAAATGAGGTTCAACTGATTGCATGATATTAATTATGTTATATAAATAAAATATTCAGAAAGCTCCAAAAAAGGGCAAAAAAGTATAGGGAGAAAATCAATATTATAGAAGAGTTGGAAATATAACCTAGGTGTTACTTTGCCAAATCAAGCAATATTCGGGTACCATATTTACAAAAGATTTTAAAAGAACATAAAAAGTAATTTCGCAAATAGAAAAGACGAGCAAATAAATTCTGAAAGTTTGTATGCAGCCAGCAGATACAAAGGTGGAAATTTGTGCATTCCGGACCCTTTATTCTGAACGCAGAAAGAACAAGGAAAAGAAGCAAATATACATTTTAGTTTATATATTAAGGAGAGTTTTAAAGTTCAATTCGTAGTAAATGTAAATCATTTACAAGTTTCTAGATTTATTTTCATTATTGGCTTGCCAAGCAATGCCCATGAACAGCAATATAAGTTTAAAGTAAGAGGTGGTATATGATGTTAAGACATATATATGCATGGACAGTCACAATTAATTCTCTAACAATTTGACGTCTATATAACTATTGAGGTTTTCTCTCTCTCTCTCTTTTTTTTTTTTTTTTTTGAAAAGACTATTGAGGTTTTCATAGATTATATAATACACCCCACAGGCAAAGGCCTGGTTCGAGGACGAAGTAGCTCGCATCGCTTGTTCATGGAATGCATATTAATTTAAAGTCTTAAATTTTTTTTTTATATATACATTAATTGAATACTTTTTATCCGAATTCGAGCTTTAAGCTTTTCTATTTTGAAGACCAAAACGCATCATGAAGACGTGAAGTGAAGAGACAAGTGCTGATAAAAAGTTAAAAATCCGATTAAGTAATTGAGAAATCGACCCAATGTCACATGAGAAAATATCATGTGATCATATTGATTTATATTTAACTAAATTATCTACTTGTATACATTATGCGAGTAATAATGAAAATTGGACCCCATAACTATATGGTTGGGAAACTAGATTTCCCATCACAAACTTAATTTTATAATTGACTTTGACTATAAAAAAAAAAAAAAAACGGATTCACATCAATAAATCATTAATCATTTTTTCCAAGTGAATAAAAATATAAATAATTGGAACACTGTTTAATTCTGATCAATTCGCTGTTCACGTAGACCAACCGGTGATGTGCACATTATTCCTTAAATTAAAACAAATCTAAATCAAGTCCATAAATAATGTTTCTAGATGAATTTTGGGGCCGGTAGATCAATCGTTTTGCCTCCGTGTTGGACGGAATCCATGCATCATCGATCTATGCAGCATAGGAAACATGCAAAACAATCCAGTCCAACACGCACAGCTGTTTTATTTAACAAAAATTGTGTCAGAACCAAACAACAACCCAACGATTCGTCTTAAAAAAATAGTCCAAATTAAAGTTTGAAATTTGTACTAATTTTAGTACAAATTTGAAAACGCAATATAGATTATTTTTTTGGGACGGATAGAGTATTTAATTTTAAAAGTGAAGGGTTTGAATCTATCATCTTACTGATTTTTTAAAATTTTTTTTTATAAGATAGGAATCTGTATACGTTCTAAGTACGTGCATATGGCGCTCAGATTGATCGCATTTTAACATAATTTGTTATTGAGATTTTTTTCGTTAAATGAGATCGAATTATCCTTTACCACTGAAATTAGCTAGGCAAGCGTGTTTTCTCCTAAAGCCGGCAAAACAATAAAACTGGCAATGCGCACGCCCATGCATGGGATCCAAAGAGCTTGATAGCAAAACACGTACAGTACTATTAAATAGTAGTACTATAACCTTTCTTATTAAAAAAAAAAATCTTAAAATAAATAATTAGTACAACCTCAAACAAAGTTTTATCAATTAGGGTACAACCCATGTACTTATTGTTAAATTTGACAATTACTTAACAAACTCTACTGCTACTTATGAAGATATTCTTTCAACAGATAGTGCGTAAAGAATTCGGAAACATTTTTTTACTGTAAATGAAATACACATGTTACGTACTATCTATGTTCATTGGCAACCTTTATCCTTTTTCAAGAGATTTTTGTCATAATCTTTGGCTGCAGATCGCAAAAAGAAAGAATAATTAAGTTGGGACGAAGATGTTGGATCAGTTTTCAACAAGATAAGAATTTGTAGTAACATAGTATGGTTCAGTTTCAAGGAAAATAATTGTTGAAAGAACTTTTACATATATGTGACCTCAATAACAGTAGATGTTAAGTCAAAATTAGTACTGATTCTAGACATCGGATGAGTTATATACACACAAAGTAGAGGTATGAAAATCTGTTAGGGAACAATTTGATTATAAGAGAAAAGATTGACAAAAAAAGAGTAAGGAATGACGTGTGGGAAGGGTATGGAAATATGTAAAATGCCAAAGGAGTAGTCGAAAGCAAAATTTGGCACCATGAAAAATCGCCAATTTCAGTTTTGAAAATATGCCCCCACCCCCGGTCTTTCCCTCCTTCCTTACTTCTCTGGTGCTGCTGACGTGTAAGGCGTAGTAAGTTGGGTCCCACCTCTGGGCTGACAATTTTTATTTATATTTTTTTTTCCTTCCTGACGCCAATCAGAAACTGCATTGCACGCGGGAAGCCGAGGAACCCCCCCAACCATTTACTCCGGCCACCACCACCACCACCACCACACCGGCCAACCCAACCCAACCCCAGCCCAGCTTCTTAACTCTCAGTCTCAGAGACATGAGCCCAATCATGCATCCAGCCTGCCTAATTAACCCACGTCAGAATTCAGAAGCCACAGAGATAGACTGTGTGTGTGACTCTGTGTGAGCGGGTAAACATCCAAAGATGGTTAGATCAGATTTCAGAGTAATCAGACAGTGCACGTGTGATGCTCACGTGCATTTCTTCTTTTCCTTTTCCGTCTACACATTATCACATTTTTCACGGCCAATAACGCTTAGAATCATGTTTGTTGAACTGTAAGAGAAAAAAAAAAAAAAAAAATACTATGTAACACATTTTCCTCACGCATTTGTTTTGAAACGGTCGAAAAGGTTAAGGATTAATGATTCACGGTTTGCTCTGAAGGGTTGAGTCAAAATGTAATTATAACGTGTTGACAAATGTGTTGGGCTAGGTTAATTACTGTGTCATGCATTGTCAATAATAACTGCGGTTAATGTAATTACTGTTCTCATTGAATATTTGTAAAAGGCAAAACATTATGACTTCTTTTTTTTCTTTGGGTTAGATCTGTTTGCGTCCTTGTGGCACGACAGAGTTGCTGTTTTTGGAAATGTAACACTAACAACACCCAGAGTTGCTGTATGGGAAGAGACATCTCAGCCAGCCACATATGAGGAAATATAAATAAATCTCTTTCTCTTTGCATTTTTCTCAAAGGGAGGTATTTAGGGTGGTGGAAGCTATCTAACTATGGAGGGATACATATATATATATATATATATATATATATTAATTTTAGATATAAATATCCTCCATAACTAGGCTACCATTGACTAAGAAGATAAAATGTGGTGATCGCAAAAGACTTCATCATGCCTGACGTTGACACATACGCCATGATTAAATTCATTTTTTTTCCTTGAATTTCATGGATCGTTATTGTTATAAATTGACATTGAAAGCGACGAGAAAAAGAATCTTTAAAGTGATTTATAATATTACAGATCGCCTGAATATATAATTATTTGTTTCTGTGTGATTACGAATTTGTATTGACAAGTGATCATCAAAGTCTTCCATATCTGTATTGGAGAAAAAATAGAGAGCAACTTTTGGGCGTGAAGCAAGTTGCAACATTTTCGAGACTATGCATGCATATATACACTACACATGAATTTATGAGTGATTTGGTTTATTGGTTCTTGAAAGACGGACGGTTTGCTACGTACCCCATTACATTGCCCCATGTAGTTTATCCTGTGAAAGTTATTTGTAAGGTTGGGGGAACTGGATGTGGTTTTTGGGATATATGGTGCATAAAGTTTTCAGTTTTGTCGCCTTTGACCCAAAAAAAGATAAAAGGAAAAAAAAATCCTACAATTGCACATTCTCCATCCTCAAGAGGGAATTAAGGGAAAAAATAAAATATTCTCCCTAATTATTGTCCAGTTTGATATTTCACTTTTAGTTCAATTTGTACTAAAACTGAAAATCTAAACTGAATAATGATTTTGGGACGGAGGGAGTAAAAATTCTTGTTTGATGATGATCGATCTTGGTCATTTTCAACTGTGGTTGAAATGTATCTTCCTTCTATATAGGATTGACAACTCAAATGTCCACTATGATCTTTACATTGCCTTTTGCCTCGTTTGGAAGAGGAATGAATGACCAAAAACATACTAATAATGCAATAAAGAAACAAAAAAAGGAAATAAACTTGTATTACTAAAGTTAATGACTGACCAAATGAAAACTTGTACTAGGTTCTACGACATTGGTTGAGTGAAAAACGACGACATTATTGTGCTTCATTAGAAATGATGATATTATTTTGTTTCAATCGTAAATTAATTTTTAACTAGTAGTACACTAGTACGTACGTAACGAAGTTGGATTCGCTCGGCCTCCCCAATGGCCAATACTAATAGACGAAAAAGGTCACCTCAAACGCTGAGCTAGTTTTAGGAAAGATCTAAGTATAGTTCAATTTTCCAACAAATTAAACAGCCTTGCCATATTCCATTGCACATCAAGAAGCATTCTCTACTTTACATTCTGATAACACAATATTAATCAGCCTTTCTAATTTGTACTAGTACTGTACTATCTCACAACTATGAATTTTATTACTTCTGGTCCTATTTTAGACACAACTTATAACTCCCGTAGTTATAAATTATGTCTTAAATAGGACGAAAAAATAGTCATAGAGATGCGGTGTTATTATGGTGAACTTATTTTGATAATTAAGTTTTCCTCTTTTCGAGTCATTCAAAAGGATATTAGTGTTTGCTTTCAGTTACGAGGCCAGCCAAGAAAACCTTTGACATTAATAAAAAGTTGTTCTCGAAACAAATGAATGAATTCAACAAAGATATGCCATAATACTCAAGTTTGACTCCAAAAATGAATTTCATCATTCATGATCCCATCAGCTCCTCCTTGCTTGCAGGAAACAAATTCTGATCCCCAAAAATTAATTTAACATTCCAAAAAAGAAAAAACAAAGTTTCTTTTTTAATTTTCCCGTCATATATACTGCCTGTGTGCCCCCCTGAAAAAGTCCAAAAGGAAATAGAAAGAAAAAAAAAAAAAAAAAAAAAAACCAGGGCAGCATCAGCATATTTGAGAGCCCATAAAGTACAATTTGCACAACAAAATGTACAACTAGATTAGGCAGAGAGATAGTAGTGGTGGTACTAAAAACTTTCCGGTTTGATTTCTCCCGGTCCGGGAATATAATTAAACCGCCCAAGTCCCAATCGTTATTTGCTACTGGAAACTGACCAGTGGAAATGATGAAAAGAAATGCACCAAACAACAATAAAAGACCCCCTCGTAAAAAACAGGACAGCCATTGTTTTGGGTTGATGTATAGATAGATATGGGAAATTGAAAGCTTTGCTGGTAAAACTGACAGTTCTGACTCTGACATCCCCAATGAACGGCAAAAACAGTAAAGAACCGAAACCTCCCCAACTGGAAAATGACTATGGAATAGGAGCAAAACAAATTAAACAAATACTACTACTACTACTAAAAAGAAAAGGAAAAAGAAAAAAAAAAACATCCCCCACCTTTAGCTGTAAAAAATATTGTTTTATTTATTTTATTTTTTAAAAAAAGTCACATTAAAATAAAACACAAACCACCATACCAGATTATTTGGGCTTCTATTTATACAAGCAATCGGCAGAGGTAGAGAGTCAGGGCCATTAGAGAAGGAATGCTCTTCATGGGAGTATCTCCATAGATAGAGATTAATTTGTCTTCTTTTCAAACAAACCAAATTCCTTTTTTTTTTTTTACTTGATACATTTATATAGCAAAGTTATAATCCAGTAGCAAAGAAATACAAAGAGAACTTACTTCCATTTGGTGATTCTCTATTTAGCCTCTTTTTGGTGTACTGATCGTCATATCCATCATCGTCCCCAATTATGTGCAATCCAAAAACCACCGCCACACTCACCGCCATCTCCGTGATTGATCATCACAAAACCCCACCAAATTTAGAACCACCAGGTAAAGATCCCCGAACCCATTTCTACTTTGATCTGTTATCCCTCCCCACCACCTTAAAAATCCAAGAAAGCCCAATAGAAATTACAGAGAACCCATCCCAATTCCCCCTTCCTTCCCCTGCAGAAATCATACAAGAAACCAAATCCCTCTTCTCCCTTTCTTTCCCCATAGCACTCACGGCCTTGATTCTCTACGCCCGCTCCATGGTTTCCATGCTTTTTTTAGGCCAGCTTGGTGAAACACAGCTGGCTTCGGGATCTTTAGCCATGGCCTTTGCAAACATAACTGGGTATTCAGTTCTCTCTGGATTAGCCTTAGGAATGGAGCCCCTCTGTTCTCAGGCTTTTGGTGCTCAAATTCCTAAGCTGCTTTCTTTAACTCTGCAAAGGGCTGTTATATTTCTTCTGGCTTGTTCTCTTCCAATCACATTCGTTTGGATCAACATTTCCCATATTCTTCTGTATTTACACCAAGACCCCCTCATCACGCGCTTGGCTCACACGTACCTTCTCTTTTCACTCCCTGATCTTATTACCAATTCTTTTATTCACCCCATACGGATTTACCTTCGGGCTCAAGGAATTACTTACCCGCTTACCTTGGCTTCCCTGGCTGGAACCGTTTTACATTTACCCATTAATTATCTGCTGGTCATTCGGCTCCAGCTCGGCGTGGCTGGCGTCGCGGCTGCGGCTGCTATTTCAAATTTGGTTGTTCTCGTGACGCTGGTTCTCTACGTGTGGGCCAGCGGCTTGCACGTGGCGACCTGGAGCAAGCCGAGCCGGGAGTGTTTAACCGGATGGGGGCCGCTGGTTCGGCTGGCGGCTCCGAGCTGCGTTTCGGTCTGCTTGGAGTGGTGGTGGTACGAGATCATGATCGTTCTGTGTGGGCTCCTGGTGGACCCTAAGGCCACTGTTGCGTCGATGGGCGTGCTGATCCAGACGACAGCGTTTCTCTACATCTTCCCGTCTTCCCTCAGTTTCGCGGTGTCCACCCGGGTTGGGAACGAGCTCGGAGCGAACCGACCCGACAAGGCCCGGGTGGTCGCCATTGTTTCGATCATGATAGCGGGCCTGATGGGCTTATCGGCGATGGGTTTCGCGACGTCCCTGAGGAACTTGTGGGCTCGGATGTTCACCGATGACATCAGCATCTTGCGGTTGACGTCAGCGGCGCTGCCAATCCTGGGGCTGTGTGAGCTTGGAAACTGCCCACAAACGGTTGGGTGTGGGGTTGTCCGTGGGACCGCCCGACCTTCCACGGCAGCTAACGTGAACCTGGGCGCATTTTATCTGGTGGGCATGCCCGTAGCGATTGGGCTCGGGTTCGTAATCGGTGTGGGCTTCTGTGGGCTTTGGTTGGGGCTGTTGTCAGCCCAGGTTTGCTGCGCTGGGCTGATGTTGTACGTGGTGGCGACCACGGACTGGAAGTTCCAGGCCTCAAGAGCACAATTCCTCACGTGCGCGGGGTGTGGTGAGAGTGAGACTCCATTGCCAGGCGAATGTGACAACGAAAAGGAGCCGTTGATCTGTGTGATGGTGACGTCAACTTGATGACCCATTATTGACAACAATGAGTGTAGGACCCAGTATGTAATATTCAATTTTTATTTTTATTTTTTTTTTCTGGGGGAAAAAAATTTTGGGGGCCGATTTGTTTGAATATCTAGATATTTTTCCTTTTTTTGGGATTTATTCTGATGTAGCTACATTTTTTGTGAATCACTACTGATCTTTTTGACTAATTAATGGTGGAGAGCGATGTTCTAATGAAATCTTGTGGAATTAAAGTACTGGATTATGTTTTTCTTTCTTTGTTTGTTTTTTTTTTTTTTTAAGGTCTCTTTGATAAGTATAATATTGGTTACGATTGACCGACTGTAAGTACTTTTTGTGTTATTCATTTGATGTTCATATCACAATTCACACCCTGTATAGGAGCTGAGTTATAATCATGTGTCTCATTAGCTCCAGCATGCACAAAACCAATGCTCATCGTGGTTGGTATAAAATTAGTGGATCTTGTTTTTGGGAGGGATAAAGTAATTTTTGGAGATTTGAAAATAAACTTACCAAAACGCTCATATATGAAGTTAATGCGCGTGAGAATGGAAGAGTTTAAGAGTTATGTCTGTGGAATACGAAACAAGGAGCTCATTGAGGGGGCAGCATCAGTGGTCTGTTAAAGAGGCCAATTCCATCGCCTTTAAAGAGGCCAATTCCATCGCCTTCAATCACAGATATAATTACTCTCCTAAAATCCGTATTTTGTTCATCTTCTTCTCACCAGATAACTATCAAATCCCATTCCCAGCCCCAATATTTTTTGCCCGATTCCCTTTCAGTTTTTCCCTTTTTAGTTTCAACCTTGTCCAATTGGGTACTCTCTCCTTTTTATTATTATTTTTTATTTCCTTTTAATTTTGCATAAATTTCCATATACTGAATACATCAATCTTTTTCGTTGTTGCGCCCATAACAGAAACCTCCTCGTCGAATCATCACTCTTCTCCTTGGACCCTACTCCTCTCCTGTCTCTCTCTCTCTCTCTTACTCTGGTCTATTTTTTATTAGTGGCCCCTAATTTTCTTTTCAAGTGTTGAAAAACTTGAAATGATTGACATACAAAATTTGTCAATTCACACAATTTTATTTGCCTTTTCTTTCATCATCAAGGTCGTGACTGGCGAACAAATATGAAATATCCCCATCAAAATCAATTTCATGAAATTTACTGCGTCTTCTCCCCCTGCAATCCGACTAACTATTATGCTTTGCATTGTTATCTTTATCGCAATTGTAATAAGAATTGCACACCCTAAAAAACGTTGTACTTTTGGTTTTCAGACTCTCGGTCAAGTTCAAACTGTACTCTTCCCTCTAATTGAAGGACATGTTTGAGATGTTGTTTTCGAAACCCAACTTTATAAATAACGTTTTCGACTACTACGTATCCATAACAGCAAGCAAGTGGATGTATTTAGTTTTTTTTTTTTTTTCTTTTTAGATGGGACTATGAGGATGACTAATTAACATATACACTCGAATATTTGTATAATATTAGTATATCGGTGATCAGAATACACACATCACCATAAACCAATTTACAGGCGACGATTTTGCAATTTGCATCTGAGCTCGAAAAGCACCAAAGAAAAACTAACATGTATATTTTGACCCAAAATTTTTTTTTTTTTTTTTTAAAAAAAAGGCCTGACATGTATTGGCTCTGTTTGCTCTCTGGTTCCACAGCATGTTCTCGTATTTCGATTTCTAGTTTCAAAGTCCAATCATACTCACTTCGTCCCAAAATGATTGTTCTGAATCTAATAAATGGAACCAAATATTTGGAAGTTGTTACTATCAGTCCAGCTAGAAGAATAACAAAACTTTGTATGAAAATTGCAAGACATCACCATCTTATCTGAACGTTTGTACATTCTTGCAGAGTTTCCCACTTTGGGGTAGAATTCGCTTGGAACCAGATTTTTGCGCAAAAGTAATGCTCATCTTTCTTTTTAATAGTTATTACGACTCCTAAAATGCATCAAACCCTTTCGTGCGAAACTGGAAATTACTGATTCCAGAAACAGCTCTGCTCTAACAGGGGGATTTCACAGGACCCAAAATTCACAAGCCATCAGAAAACAAAAATCTGGAGCTTCTAACAGTTTTAAGCACTAATTTTACTGAGTCGTTCAGCTATCAACTTTCCAACAAGTTCAAAATATTGCCCAATTAAGCCTAATCTTTTTTCATTCTCCTCCCACTAATTTACCCACTTCAAGTTTACTTTAAAGTTCGGACTTCATTTTGTACTCCAAGTTAGCAGATTTTAAATCCTGTCTCCGCACCAGGCACCACTTTAAACTTACTTTCGTTATTTTTTCATCTCCATCTTGTGTGTTTGCCATGAGTTTTGCACATTATTTCAATACTGGAAATCCAACGACCCACCGCCATATATATATATATATATATATATATATATATACACACATATATATATATATAAGCAACAGCCCATTTCGGAGCCATTAACAAATGTTGGCCAACTTCCTCTTTCAAACTCTGATAAGTTACACAATTCGTCCACTTGTATTAAATTATATGCTTCATCAATCCACAACAAAGTTCGACCTGCATGTCTAGATCCATACTATGTTCTAATGTACGTATAGAAATGTCACTAAACTACATGAAACAAAACCAACATTTACATATTGATAAAAAAAAAAAATCGATAAACAATTCTCGTCACATCCATCAAGATATCTATAACTCAACGAATGGATTAATTTCTATTATAGAAAATGAACATCGTATTATATACAAAAATAAATAAAAAGTTACTTGTCAGTCACAAATAATTGTCGTATTTATAATCTCCCACTCTCCCCCTCCACCATTGGTGTGTTTCCAAGGAGATGAGGAAAGGTGTTCATGGCCGCCATCCTCTTCTATTAAATTAAACCCGACATATCTACAATACTCTATTAAGAAGGTAGAATTAAACGAGGAGATGAAAAGAAAACCTTAGCAGGCGTGAATCATTCTACCTAGGCCATCATTCCTTTCACATGGTCGATCGATGGATCCCCCTATTACTATTATTATTATACATCTATCAAACTTTCCAAATTTCCTCCCCAAGTTCTTCCTTTCCCCTCTTCTTGTCTCCTTATCTAAACAGTGTTTCTCCTCTTTTCATGACTCCTTGTCTTCCAAAAATTAACCACTCGTTTCTCATCTCTTTGATCTTAAACTATATATATATATATATATATAGATATATATATATATCTATGTACCTTGCATGGCTTCATCACCATCATTATCACGCAAAGTTCCAAGGAGAAAAAAATAAAAATTTACCCACCACTCCAATCATTCCTGTCTATACAACAAAGACCCTAGCTACCATCTACAAAAACATAGACTTCATCGAAACATTTCAAACAAATCCACCAATGGAAGTTTATATATTGCAATGTGTATGTACAACCCGTTTGCTTTTGTCCACCTTATGAGCAACAAGTTCTTGGCAAAGTTGCCTTTTAAAAACGTTTGTATATATTCTGCATTAATGCCTGATTTGCAGGAGTAGTTTTTCTTTTTTGTGCTTTCGTTAGCTCCCATATGATTTGATCAACTGACCATTTGTTTATTATTCACCAGACTCCAATTAGCATGGCATGTTTCCTTTGGGGAGAATAGCTCATCTTTCTTACACATGACTTTGTGTGTGGTAGTATGTACCATGCTATAAGCCTTAGCATGTTGTAGGCTTGATCCATTAGCCTATAAACCTACCCTATGGGCTCGACACGTGGGGACCCTTCAGCAATGTGGTGAAATTATATATTTTCTTCCGTCTCAAAATAATTGTCGCATTTGACATATTATATGAACAAACTAAAGAATGTTTTGAAACAGAGAGAGTAATCATTAGTATCTAACCATAAAAAATTATGAATTGCGAAACATGACATGCCTCGTTGTTGGCTAACTTTCTCTGCATGTACATATGTCAGGTCACAAGCCTTGCAAATAAACGATTGAAGAGAAAGATGCGTACATGGGATGGGACAGTCAATGATTAACCAACGGTTTGTCTTTGGCATGTATTATCATCGACAAAATGTCTCTATGGAGTATGGACAATGCCAGGATACGTAAGAATTTATGTCTTGCAAGAGGCCAAACGCCAACATACTTAATGGTTTTTTGGGGTTTTTTTTTATTGTAACATAAACAAATAATTCTAAACGAAAACATATTACAACGACCGAAACTTCATTTGATACGAATGGAACCATATCCACGCTATTCTAAATAGGGAAAAAGAGCTTTTCCCAGACCGAAAAAGAGTTTGCATGCATCGAAATGAACTCATAGTTCAGTAGTTTTGTCCCAAATAAGGCTAAGCGGGGGCAGACAGATATTGGATTAAATCATATATTTTGGAGCAAATCACGAATTCAATTAATTACAATGGCTAGTTTCTGTACCCAAAAATATATGTATGCAAAATATGCTAGCGGTGATAAAACAAGAACAGCAAAATTGTTCTATAGTAGTAGAAGAGTATACGAAAAAACAGTATATTTTCCATGTGGAATTACTCTTCATGCTCCAAATTGTTCAGTCTAACAAAAGCCCAGTTGATTGCTAGTGGATAAAAAAGATAGTAGGAATTAAGGCCCAAGAACTCTAACCCAAATCGCTCTTAAACTAATGATTTCATACCTAAGAAAATGAAAATACTAGGTACTAGTTACTACACTACCACTGTTTGGTAACAATAATTTGATTTCTTTTTTCCAGTTGAACCAAATGTAAGTGATTCTTTCCCTTAAATTGAGTCAGAAAAAAAATGTTAATTACCAGAAAATATGCAAAAAAGTTATGTTATAGCTTTACAAACAGTACATTCATTTTCCGAATTCGGGAAAGAATTGGAAAATTTGAGGTAGTTGCTCCGTCATATAGACTCAACAACATCCGCGCCATGGGCTCCTGGAATTGGAACGTTCGTAACTTTGTATAGATTTCTCAATTTGTGGATAATAATCTGAACGTTTAGGCTAAAGGATGAAAGTGGTCCATTTTAGGGATGTTGAAAGCAACAAGGGATACTTACTGGTCCAGGCTCAGCTCTTTGGATTGGTCAAGATAAAGTTTGATTTGAGAATACACGTGAAGAAATGGTACGAAATGAAGTCCAATTGGGAGGCCCATATTTATAAAACGAAGAGGCAAAGATCAGGAATTCAACATGCCAT